CAGTCCAGGAGGTTTTTATTTAATTTTTTTTTTCTTCTTTAGGCGAGACCTAGACAACTAGTGAGAACTTCAAAGGTTTTTCTCCTGCTGTAACTTAAGGAGTAAGGAAACGCCATGGCAAAATATATATATATATATATATATATATATATATATATATATATATATATATATATATATATAAAAATGGTGTTGGTTCCCCAAAAATCCATATCACATGTTGAGGGCATGTGGCCTGGTATGGTTCGGGTGGGAGGGGGGGTTGCAGACTGCATGCTTAGATAAGGGTCTGGTAGGGATTTGGGGGAGGGAGACCACATCATTTTTTAATTTTTACTTGGGGTTCCCCTCAAAATACATACCAGACTGAAGGGCCTGGCATGGATTGGGAAGAGGGGGGGGGCATACTGCCCTTTTTTTTTCTCAGATTCACATTGCTGGCAATTATTTTGTTTACATTTAGCTGTCAGCAGGGAACCCCACTGACAGCTGATGAGTCATCCGTCGTTATGGACAGGACAGCCGGCTTGCTGGCCCGCTCCTTGACAACCAGCTATTCACTGGTTGTTAAGGATGCTAACGGCCGCCACTAAGAAAAAAAAAAACGCTGGAAAATGGCTCTTGGCAGTGTTTAGGAGCATTCAGTGTGGTTTGTTTTTTTTTTTTTTTGACCGCCGGCAAATCGCTCCCAAAAACAGAAAAAAAAGCTTTATTTTTCTGCTCCTAGAAGCTGAAGATTCAAAAGAGTGCATTGACATATAGGATAACACTACTTGCTTCTAGGGGCAGAAAAAAAGCGCTCATAAGTAGCTGATAGGAGCTTGTTTTTAAGTCGGCGTGCATGGAGCCTAAAAGGCGTTCAGAGAATAAATCAAACTCCCTGTGTGCAAAGGTATATTTTGGTCAGAACTGAGAATTAAATATTATAAATACATACAATATGCATTGCACTGTCTGGAACACAGCCTACTTACTTACTCAGTACCTAGTTTTTCAGTCACGCATTGCTGTAGCTCATCCATTAACACCATTCCCTTTTATTGAGCATCTGGTGATCTGAGAACCCCTGGCTATAATATAGCAGAGCTGTTCCTGAACATACCCACTGCAGGCACCTTTCTACTGCTTAAATACAAGAAGCATGATGTAAAAATATCAGTGATGCGAATGGTGATGCCAATCACCAAGAATCCAAGAAGTACCCTCTCAATGATCCTCTTTGGTGCTGTATGGATTTTTGTTGTGCTGGATTACAAAAAAAAGTGAAAGCAAAGCCCAAGTCTAACTATTCATAAAAAGTGTCCTCTCCCCCCTCCTCTTACCTATACTGCCTATACCTATAACCTACCTATAACCTGTATAAAAAGATGTGTGTTCTTACCTATTTTTTAATTTGATCATGTGCAGTCACTTTATCCTGCAGCCTCTTCTCCTCTGTGTCAATGAGCGGCAGCTGCAGGGGAGAACAATGGCTGGGCTATGGGAGTATATGGATGATGTCACAGCGTACGGAATTCCCAGCCCTTGCCAAGTGTTCCCTGGTGCTGCAGGATTATCTGACTGAAGTGGATTAAAAACTGGTAAGTACACATCCTTTTTTATACAAATTACTTAGTTACATAGTTGGTAAGGTCCAGCCAGTTCAACCTATGTGTGTTTGTGTGTTCATGGTAAAAGATATATCAGATATCCCTGTATACTGTGTTCACTAAGAAGCCCATCCAAGAGTTTTTTTTTAAAGTAATCAATACTTCCCACTAATACCATCGATTGTGGAAGTAGAGGAAACATGATTCATGTGTAAGAGTTCCACATCCGTACTGCGCTGTCAGTGAAATACCCCTACGCAGTTTAACCACTTGCCTACCAGGCACTTATACCCCCTTATTTACCAGGCCAATTTTCAGCTTTCAGCGCTGCCGCACTTTGATTGACAATTGCGTGGTCATGCAACATTGTACCCATATGAAATTTTGATCATTTTTTTTCTCACAAATAGAGCTTTCTTTTGGTGGTATTTAATCGCCACTGGGCGCTTTACTTTTTGCGCTATAAATAAAAAAAAGTGCAAAAAATTTGAAAAAAAAAAAAAAAGTTTCTTTGTTTCTTTTATAAAATTTTTCAAACAGGTATTTTTTCTCCTTCACTGATGTGCGTTGATGAGGCAGCACTGATGGGCACTGATAGGCGGCACTGATGGGCACTGATAGGCAGCACTAAAGGGCACTGATAGGCAGTACTAATGAGGTGGCACGGATAGGCGGCACTGATAGGCAGCACTAATGAGGTGTCGTGGATAGGCGGCACTAATATGCAGCACTGATAGGCGGCACTGATAGGTGACACTGATTATGGGTACTGATAGACGGCACTGACTGGCATCACTGCTGGGCACTGACTGGCACAACCCCTGGGCACTGACTGGCTGACTGGCAGCACTGGTGGGCAGCACTGGTGGGTGGGCACAGGTGGGTGGTACTGGTGGGCACAGGTGGGTGGGCACAGGTGGGTGGCACTTCTGGGCACAGGTAGGTGGCACTTCTGGGCACAGGTAGGTGGCACTGCAGAGTGGCACAGGTGGGTGCACTGCTGGGCACAGGTGGGTGCACTGCTGGGCACGGGTGGGGTGATCTGCTGGGCACGGGGTGTGGGCGGAGCTAGTGGGCGCACTGCTGGGCACAGGTGGGCGGGACTTGCGGGTGGCACTGCTGGGCACCGATCATCAGGGCACTGATCATCAGTGCCCTGATGATCAGTGCCGATCCCTGCTCTGACAACTGCCGGTTCTCGGCAGTACTTTCCTCACGTTCTGACAGCGTGAGGAAAGTGCAGCCGAGAACTGGCACTTGCATTTCCCTCTGATCAGCGTGTCATTGGACACCGCTGATCACGTGGTAAAAGGCCGCTGTGATTGGCCTTTTACCACATCACGTGATCAGCTGTGTCCGTAGGACACAGCGATCACGGAGATCGCCGGGTGCGCGCCCCCCTGGGGCGCGCAGGAGAGCGCGTTCTGGGAGGACGTCATATGACGTCCACTCAGAACTGGCCGGCCGCAGTGCAGCCGTCATTCGGCTATCTGCGGTCGGCAGCTAGTTAATGTTAAGCCGCTTCTCCAATTTCATTGTGTGGCTCCATGTCTTCTTATATTCCCTGAGCCTGAATAGTTTATTCCCTATACTAGGATCACTATTGAAGTATTTTTATATCGCTGTCATATCTCCTCTCATGCGGCTCTTCTCCAGGGAGAAGAAGTTTAATGTTTTCAGTTGTTCTTCATAACTGAGGTCCTCCTGTTCCAGTTCCAGCACATCCTTTCTGAGAACTATTGAACAAAACTGGACAGCATACTCAAGATGTGGTCAAACCAGAATTATATAAAGTGGCAGGATTATAGTTTTATCTCTTGAATAAATACCCTTTTTATGCATGCTAATATTTTGCTTGCTTTGCTTGCTGCAGCTCGGCATTTCATGCCATTGCTGAATCTGTCATCTACTAGGACCCCCAGATCCTTTTCCTTCCTGGCTTCGCCCAGAGGTTCTCCCCCTAGGGAGTAATTTCTGTTCATATTTTTAGCCCCAAGAGCATTACATTGCATTTTTCAAAATTAAACCTCATTTGCCATTTATTACCACCTTTTGGATATGCCCCTGCAACCAGTTTTCTATCCATGAACAAACCCTGTTGTCCATGCCTAAAGACCTCAGTTTGCAAATTAAGTGTTTATGGAGGACTGTTATCGAATGCTTTTGCAAAATCCAGGTAAACCACATCCACAAGCCTTGCTTTATCTAGATGACAGCTCACTTCCTCGTAGAATGTTAACAGACTGGTTTGGTAAGAATGACCTTTAAAAAAATCCATGCTGATTACTACTACTGATACATTTTTCATCATCAAATTCTTGGATATAGACCCTTATCATTCACTCCAATAGTTAACATACTATCGATGTTAGACTGACTGGCCTGTAGTTGTCCCTTTTTAAAAACTGGAACCACGTTGACCCTTTGCCAGTTGGCTGGCACCATTCCTGTCAGTATTCTGTCCATAAAAATTAGGAACTGTTTTGGACATTAATACTGAAAATTTTATAGATATGCAACGCCTATCCTCATATTGATTAGTGGTTCCAAATTAATAATTTGTACTGCAGTAGGGAACACACACAAAAAGATACACAGTTTCCAAATAACTGTTCTGTTTATTTGGCACATTTTGAAGGTTTTTTTTATACACATGATTACGTAGGTACCACATTAATATTCCAATTGTACTTTTATGGTAACCAGGGGCGTTACATAGGCACCATGTGAAAAAACCCCACTGCCAGTGGCCTGTCCTGGGAGTGGTATATCTGCTAATGCATAAACCATAAATTAAAGGGGAGGTGCATCCAAAACCAGTACACTCTAAAGAACAACCCCACAAAAGGATATAGTACCTCAAAGGCTAATAAGCAGCATAAATGTATTAAGGACGTAACAATAAAACAAGATGTATCATATAATCAAACAATGCATGTACCCCATCCATCCCCAACCCCCTACCACCAACCAATCCCCCCAACAACGTCCCATATAGTCCTACCCCAACACTCCAGGCTAATGTCTAATCGGGACTTGAAGGAATGCAAACATAATCGAAACATTATTAGTGCCGTGTGCACAATGAGTGCAGTGTACAATACATAGGGAAAGCATACAAAATATAATACCATTTTATATAGAATTTACAAATTTCCTTTACAATCTCCCCTCTTTTGATCAATATTTTCCATTTTGTTCGCAGACCACATGTGCTATTATCACCATTTAACCTGGAAGCTGCTTACATTTAGGAGGAACTAGTCCTGGTCTAGAAGGCAAACTCAACTGGGTAGAATCTAATGACCTTTTATTGTAACTAAAACTTACATAAAAACAAATGATTGGTAGGAAATATTTACAGAGTAACTAGCTGTACACTCAGATCTTGTGGCCAGAATGGCCTTGTAGCTTAATCGTGGACATGCTGACTTATCAGAATAGTTAAACACAGACAATTCTACATAAAATGCAAGACATATAAAAGACAATAAGAGTTCAGCATGGCTGAACTACTTTTCAAATCACATTAAATATACCGTATTTTTCACTCCATAAGATGCACCTGACCATAAGACGCACCTAGATTTTAGAGGAGGAAAACAAGTAAAAAATATTCTGAAACAATGGACTGCAGACATAGTACAGGAGATGACCAGAGACTGCGGACACAGTACAGGAGATGACCAGAGACTGCGGACACAGTACAGGAGATGACCAGAGATGCGGACACAGACCACAGGAGATGACCTGCGGACACAGTACAGGAGATGACCAGAGACTGCAGACACAGTACAGGAGATGACCAGAGACTGCAGACACAGTACAGGAGATGACCAGAGACTGCGGACACAGTACAGGAGATGACCAGAGACTGCGGACACAGTACAGGAGATGACCAGAGACTGCGGACACAGTACAGGAGATGACCAGAGACTGCGGACACAGTACAGGAGATGACCAGAGACTGCGGACATAGTACAGGAGATGACCAGAGACTGCGGACATAGTACAGGAGATGACCAGAGACTGCGGACACAGTACAGGAGATGACCAGAGACTGTGGACACAGTACAGGAGATGACCAGAGACTGCGGACACAGTACAGGAGATGACCAGAGACTGCGGACACAGTACAGGAGATGACCAGAGACTGTGGACACAGTACAGTAGATGACCAGAGACTGCGGACACAGTACAGGAGATGACCAGAGACTGCGGACCTTTGCGGATTGGGTACCCGATTTGACGCGCCCACTTCCGCGGAGTTTTCCTCCCCGTAGTCTTCTGGGACACGTGACAGGTCCCAGAAGACTACAGGTGGTCATTCACAAAGCGCAACGCTTCTCACGCATGCACAGTGGGCACCCAGCTGTGAAGCTGCAAGCTGTCACAGCCAGATGCCCACACTGAAGATGCCGGGGAGAGAAGACAGCCGGTGAAAGCAGGACACCGCTGGACAGAGGAACGGGTAGGACCGAGGAGCAGGTTCTTCTGCACAGTAGAGCAGAGCGGCCGGCCCGGTATTCAAACACGGCAGCGGCAGGAATACCGGTCCGGCCACTCCATATTCGCTCCATAAGACGAACAGACATTTCCCCCCATTTTTTTGGAGGAAAAAAGTCCGTCTTATGGAGTGAAAAATACGGTACATATATCCCTTATTACTATATTTATTAAAGTATTTGAATAAATAGTACCCCAGACTGTGATTCCAAGAGGAAACCAAATTAAACACAAAGATACTTTCATTTAGTAATTTTTGCAGTGTCTGGTGTGGATCCAGGTGACTTTTTCTTCCCTTTTTGTAAACTGTACACCAGGGCTTAAAATTTCAAGTCCTGAACTACTAGCCAGGCCTTATGAGTTACTCGACATCAATTGCCCCACCAAACCCCTACCCTGCTACACCCCTGCTTCCCCCCCCTAAACACTCCCTCGTAAATTATTTAATGAAATGACACTGTTAAATGTTAGCCACATGACATCAGGGTCCCCAGAGTCCCCCCCCCACATTACATCAGGGCCTCCAATGTCCCCCTAAACACTCCATAATACTTAGACCATTTACCACATACAACCATAACCCCCCATAATCTTTCACTCACAAAACCATAACTCTACCAAGCATACTCTACCTTCTATCCAACCCAGCAGTACCTCAAATGTCCCATACTCTACCACCAATGATAACCACAGCATCCTGAACCTGACCAAATCACCCATACATCTATGTTTACACACAGACACATGTACAAACAGAGACACCTGTACACACACACATACATACACATGTATACACACACACAGACACATGTACAGACACACATACATACACAGAAATACATACACACAGAGCCACATGTACACACACGCACAGAGACAAGTGTATATACACACATACAGTCACATGTATACACACGTACAGACACACATACATACGCACAGAGACACATGTACACACACACACATACAGACACATGTATACACACAGACACATGTACAGACACACATACATACACAGAAATACATACGCACAGAGCCACATGTACACACACGCACAGAGACACTTGTATATACACACATACAGTCACATGTATACACATGTACAGTACAGACACATGTACACACGCACAGAGACACATGTACACACACGCACATACAGACACACGTATACACACACACAGACACATGTACAGACACACATACATACACAGAAATACATACGCACAGAGACACATGTACACACACATACAGACACATGTATACACGTACAGACACGCATACATGTACATACACACAGAAACATGCACATACATACACAGATACATACATAGACACATGTACACACACACACACACACACACACACACACACACACACACGTACATATACACATACATGTACATATACACAGACACATGTACACACACACACACACACACACACAAATCCCCCTATAAAAAGTTGCAGTACTTCGTTGTTCACTCACAGAGCCGGGTACTGCACTCTAGGGGGAGGCAGAGAGCACAGCACACACTCCTTCCTTTGCTTTCACTGCGCTCAGCTATTAAGTAGTCTGACGGCTCCCAGTGCGAGTGACAGATCCGGCCCTGAGTTCCGAGCCTGGTCAGCAAGACGGCTCTGGGAACACACTCGCCCCCACCAAAAATTCCACTCGCCATTGGCGAGCAGGCGAGTGGAAATTTCAAGGCCTGCTGTACACAACCTAGAACGGTTCTAGTGATTCCTGTGTCCCCCCTGCAATGCAATTTTCATCCCATTCATTTTAATGAGCTGAATTTGCACCTGATCACAAAAAGCAGCAGTGTGTGCACTATTTTTGAAAAACATGCTTTACTAAATCGCATGGTACCAAGCGATATGTTACCCACAAAACTCACTGCCTTTGAGATCTAAGTTTGGTTACCATTAACAATGTATTGGCACCCTCAGCAGTTTGCAAAGTCAGTATGTTTTAAAGATGGTTCGGAAAACATGCACAGAACGCGGTCTGGTCATAATAACTTGTTGATTTATATTACTTGTTACCTGGAATAGCTCTCCAAGGCAGCAACCCAGAACTTCAATGTCATTAAAGAGACAGCAAGCATATATTTTGCTCATTCACCTTTTGGTTGAGCCAGAAGTTTACATTCTTTTCATTTACGGACATAGTAATATGATACTATAACCCAACATTTGATTTTACAGGCAGTATAGGTTGGCATCACATAATTGAGCCCAAGGCTGATGCTATATATTACTATGCATAAAGAGCTGAGGTTACACAGCATGGACAAACTAGAGCAGGTAATATATATAGTGCATGGAGTATTAAATATTGAGTCCCAAGGGCTATCTGTGTCTTATGCTCCCCATTTAGCTAAGACGGTCCATTTGTTTCAGATTACCAGTGTGCTATTAATATGCTAAAAAAAAGCATTGTTTATGCTGTAAGTGATGGCTTTGAGTGATTACTTATGTCTCATGCCTGTCAGATGAGTCTGATCAGTCCCTTTAATCAAGATTCTGCAGACAGTTATAACTGCATACTAGTAGTTTTGTAGGCTTGGAATGCAGTTAAAGCATATCTAAACCCAAAAGCAAACAAAAAACCAGGCCTAAGGAGTAGTAACTTACAATATACTTTTGCTGTTGGGTTTAGATATCCTTTTAAGGTAGATTGTGTTTTTGTTTTTTTGGCTATAATGCAAAGAGATAAAGAAACCTCTTTCCAATGTGGACATTGGGGACAGGAAAAGAGATTCTAACCCCTTGGTGCCTAACCTGTGGCCCAGGGACTACATTCGGTATTTTAGCACTTATTGTTTGGCCATTGCGGCCTCTGCAGATTGTAATCTGTACTTTCTTTATTTAGGGGCAGTGAAGGAAAAAATGTTCTTTTGACCAACTAGTTCAACTTCTTGGATTATTTCTTTCATGCTATCTCAGGATCTTGCTGAGAAAAAACATCACATTTTTAAAAGTAATTTTTAAGGGTGCTGTAGGGGAGTACAAATGGTGAAAGTATTGATTTGTAAAGGGGCTGTAATAGCTGTGATCTCTAGTAGTATCCTGTAATGTATCACTAAACTATTAGTCTCTGAAAGCCGGCCATACATGGTTGGAAATTGGGCCGATTCAGCAGGGACCAGCCGAATTTCAATTTATGTATGGGAAGGGAGGTTGTACAAAAATAAATCTAGCAACTGACCTTTGCACAACCGCCCCATCTAATTTTCCCTGCTCGATCAGCACTGCAGGCTATAGCCAATAGCACTGATCTGTGTATTCTGACAGTGGGGAGACTTCCAATACAATACAATAGCTCAGTGGGCAGGATTCCTAAATTAATTGAATGTGCCAGTTTTTTTGTTTTTTCTTTTTCATTTCATTAATCATTATTATTTTTATTTTGCAGTTCTGTTCTCTACATGACACAGTACAGGTAGTACTTTACTGAATGTTTCTAAGTGCTAAGCTATTATTGGATTGGCTTCAACAGGAGAGCTTCAGATTGTCTGGTTATGAGCACTTTCTCGAGTCAAGAAACGGCCAGAGGAATGCAGACGGAGGTTGAGTGTGTTAGCTTCTGCATTTTTCTTGCCGTTCCTTGTCTGTGGATAGGGGGCAGGCTGAACCTCCATAATCTGGGTTAGAAAGCATGAAGAGACAAAGGACTGTATGTAATTCGTCCTATAGGTGATAGAACTGTTAAAAAAAAAAGTTGTAATAATCCTTTTCTCCCATACTCGTTCTTGGCTGGGGAAAAGTATAGAAGCAGGACGATGAGGAAACCAGAACTTTCGGGAGTGGTCAGTAATGGCACCCTCTGTTTCTCTCATGATGTTTTTTTCCTTTTAAATTGATGGGGGAAAAAGTCACACAGGCAGCTTCAAGGTTCATGCAGATGGACATTTAAAGGCGTTTTATTTGCCTACCGTAAATTACCTGGTACTTTCCCAGCTGTGCACAGTCTGCTACACAAGTGAATGGCTGTATAGGGCCATACTCTTGTAAAACAGTGATGCTTCTTTGCATCAGGGACTACCAATGCATATGTCCAACATGCCTTCTAAAAGCAAAATGCTCCAGTTCCATGTGCTCAGGCAAACCCTGATGCAAAGTAGCGTCAGCATTTTACAAGAGTATGGCCATGTACAGCTATTCACTTGTATGGCAGATGGTGCACAGCTCTTACGGTTGCCCAAGCGCTTATAGGAAATGCAAGATCTCTATACTTTTGTTTGGGTGGGCCTATGGCTATTGGCAGCATTTGGAGCCAACTTCAGCTGCTGCTCATGTTGTCCAATGCAGCTGCTTATGACTATAGCACACCGGTGATTTGTAGCTACATAGATCCGCATTGAAGTCCATTGCAAACACCACTCTGTAATTGGCTATCACCACAGAAAATGAGATACGCCACCATTTTTCTTCGTAAATATATTTCTACAGGTGCTATGAAGTTTTCAACACATGTTGGTAACAACCCATGCAGTCCATACATAGAAAGAAACCAACACAAATAAGTTCGGAAATTAAGTTATGTGTAGTACAATGAAATGACACAGAGAAAAAGCATTGAACATGCTAACTGAAATGTATTTAATACTTTGTACAAAATCCTTTTTTGGTAATGACCGCTTCAAGATGCCTCCTGTATGAAGAAACT